TTTTCTAATAGAATGTCCATCCTACTATCTGACTGATTATTTTAAACTTAATGCAGAGCTTGAATCTGAACAAATTACTGTTTTTAATGGTTTTATGTCTTCCATTGTAAAGCTAATTATATTGCAAACATTTCCCCTGTGTATACTGATAATCCATCTGAAATTCGTTTTACTATTTTTATATTGAATTCTGGTATGTTTTTAAGCTAGCTAATATATAAAAAAAAAAAAATATGAATCCAATAAGTGTTTATGTTTGTTTTTTTTGTTTTTTTTTTTTAGCTTTTTTATGGTCTTCTGGAGGATATAGAACAATTCATTGTTGTTTAAAGTGCATTGAAAAAGTATCGACAGCCATTAAACTTTCTTTGCATTTGGTGATTACTTTTTTTTTCACACACCTTCATTGTGTTTTATTCAGGGTTCCTCAAATAGACTTATACAAACTAGATCACAATTATGAAATACTAGGATAATAATTATCTTTTTTAGACAAAAATGTCACAAGTGGGAGGTTTGTTCCAAATGTCGTCACAGACCCTTGATTAAATTTAGGTCTGAATGTTGACTTCAACATTATACATATCAGAATCGGAAATTATTTGTTGCCTAGTAGTGTTTTTATACATATGAGGAATTTGTTGTGTAAATAGATGCTACACATAGACAAGAAAGCATGTGGTTATCATAAATAAATAGTGGAATATAAAAAAAATTGAAACAACAAATTTGAATTGTATGTGAAGTGGCCGCAACAACATTAAACAACAAACAACAAAAGTATGATGAACATACTTTAATACATTTTTTTGATGTTCTTGAGTGTTAAGGATATTTATTTTGAAGGAAAAACCTTTCAATTAGTCGCAAGTGTTTTGCAGCGTGAAATATCCATCCACTTTCTCATCAGATCTGATCATTGTACCTGTCTGTGTTGAGAAAAAATATTTCCAGATTTCCATGTTGCTGCCTTGCTGCGTTGTGGCTTGTCTTTTTCAAGTGTAATATATAAAATCTGACAGTAGCATGGAAAGAAGTGGAAAATTAAAAGAGTAATGCATACCTATGCAATGGATTCTAAGTTCCTTCTTTTCAGCACAACAGCAACTGAATACTGAAGTACAGAGTTATGCTATGAAAATCAAGAAAATTATTTCATGTAATGTATTTAGAAGGTAACAAAAACAATCTCTAGTTGATTTCATAGTTGTTATATAGTTCTTTATTTAAATTTTATTTTTCACACACTTTCCTGCTGTTTATCTGAGTTTTCTGTTCCTTATTCCTTTTTTACACGAATGAAGGATGATGAAAATAAGTTGTTAAACATTTTTTTTTTTTTTTTTGCATTTCCATGCAGTTCATTTAAATTGATTTAGACTGTGCCTGAATTAATGAAATAGAAATAATTTGTGGAGCAAATGCATTGTTCATTATTGACCTTTCACAATGTTTTTTTTTTGTTTGAAGTTTGAAAGAAAACCTCACATTTTCCAAAGTTAGAATTGACTTTTCAAGCTCAGAATATTAAATTTATTATTTCCTGGAAAAATAAAATACAACTGAAGGCTACAGCAATAACAAGTTTGTTCGTACTTCTGATGGTTTTGATTGCATTAAGTCAGAGGGACATAGCAGTACAAAGCCTGTTTGTGAACACACTGCAGCAAAACACTGAGAAATACTATCAGGTTGCCTTGCTAATGGTTTTCTGCATTATCAATTCAGGACAACAATCATCAAGTTCTACTGGTTTTACGGCTTAAAACAGAAACATGGTTAGACTGGGTGTGATACTATCTGACATCTGACTTCTAAAGTAAAAAAATGCAACTTAACAAAGGAATCTTGTCACTGGGCTATTTGCTTACCTTTCAACTTCATTTTTGTATTAAAATAGCTGCAATAAATCCTACATCGAATTACAGCTAAAAAAAAGATCTGACAAGATTGTTTAAAAAAAAATCATCACTAAGTACATTATGCATAATTATTATTACATTTTTTCATCATCTATACTTATAGTTATTAAAGCAAACATGTATTGTGGTTGACAAATCAGTTTGACAACAATGGTTCAATATGGCTGAAAATGAATCAAAATATCAGCCTCCCATGTCAGTCAAGGTTGATAACTATTGATTAAGTTTTTATTTTACCTATTTCAAATTAGGACTGGGGCAAAATCCCAATTCAAATTGTAACTATAACTATTTTAACATAACCTTAAAAATAAAAAAAAAAGAGACCAGCTCCACCACCAACCTATCTTGGCTAGTCTGTGAGAGACTGAGAGACCAAATACTTTCCTCTGCCTACATTCCCCAGAATGCCGTGTGGTTCAGAATCGAAGTTCAGTGAATTTAAGGAACATTTCATTGAATATATTTCATTTTTATTTTTGTAATGTATTTTTGATCAAGCGTCTGTCATGATGTCCTTTTTTCCCCAGCTCTCATTGTGGCCTAATGTCTTTAACTGAGATAATTACAGTAAAAGTACCTAAAATATCCAGGGTCAAGAACGAACTAAATCATGCTATCCTAAAATACTTGCAACTCTTCAATAAACATTATTTCCATTCACAGTGTGAATTTTGTGTTTTTGAGGGGCATTTTCAGGTTTCCATTTTTAGTTTGTGGTTAATGGGATGTTGTTGTTGCACAGTTCAGGCCTGATATAAGGTTGAGGCCAATGTGTTTACAGAGGCAGGAAAGTGGAAGCGCAAGGGAGGAAGGAAGGAAGAAAGTAAGGCCTGCTATTAAAAGTCTGTTGGTTTTTATTGTGCTAATGACAGACCCAGACCTTGGTCTTCTGTCCTTGTCCAACAGGAAAAGCTAGCAACATAATCCTTGGCTAAATCCTCTCTGTTTTTGTTTTACAGCAAGAGGAAGAGTATCAGTGCCTACTTCAGCCATCTAAAGGTAAAATGATGTCCAAAAATCCTTTTTCCTTTTCATATGCTAAAGAGATGTTGGTAGACAGAGTTTCAAAACTTTTTATCTTCTGTTGTTTTGTATGTTACAGATGTTCGGTGGTAGAAAGGAGATGGATCTCCTGAAAAAGGAGCTAGAAGAGGAGTTAAAGCTAAACAGTGAGGATGTGAGGAGTCATGCATGGTACCATGGACCCCTGACCCGCGAGGTGCACATACCACAATACATATACTACCAATACTAATAACATGCTGTTGTTTTCTGCTTAAAGATGTAAAAAAAAAAACTCCCCAATACAAATTTAGTAAACTGCCATCAATGTGGGCAGGGCACATGAGGCCCTAATGCTACATTCAGACCGCACGCTGCAGAAGCAGCAGAAGCAGCTAGATTACATGCAAAGTCTATGGTTGATGCACTTTAAGGCGCAGCAAAAGGTCCTCCAGTGCATTTTGAGCAGCTGCAGCAGCACATCTGAGCAGCTGTAGGAGTGCCTTATGAGCTTCTGAGCATCCAGCGAGTACGACTTCAGAAGCAGCAGCTGCTGGAGCTGGAAAAATTTAACTTTTGCTGCTCGATGTGCCACATCAACCAATCAGTGAAGCTGATCTGGGAGCTGGCAGGGCACTGCTGATGCAGATCGCTATGATCACTCCTCTGAAACAGTTTATTTATGCTAAATTAACTTAAAATGTCGAAACCTGCCGGCAAAATATGTTCACTTTTATTATTCTGGTGCCTGCAGTTTGGGTTACGTACGTTAAAAATGCCTTCCAGCTGCCGTGATCAGTAGCTGAAAACTGCAAAGAGGCAACCGGGCCAGAGGCTGCCGTTGAACGGGATTTCTAGGGACAGAGCTCCAGCAGCTATTTGAAAGCAGGATGGTAATCTTGATGAACCGACTGCACAGATGAAGTTTTCTGGAGTACTTTCTTACAAAAACATAATAAAACAATGTTTTACCCACTTAGAACAGCAAATAGAGCACTCCGCCACTGAATACAGGAGCAGCAGAAGAATCTGATGCATCTGGACACACTTTACAGGACGTCTGACCTTAATGTTGACAAGCATAAAAAATAATGCAGCAGAAACTTTTTTGCTGCTTCTAGTGCTTGCAGTCTGAAAGTAGCATTATTCATTTAAATAAGCCAAGCGACTCTCTAAATGTCTTCTGCCATTGTTACTGGCAAAGAAAGGATACGGTAGCTCCGCCCGTCAGACCCACGTTTCGACCGTGCAGTTACTGTAGAGCAGCAAAGATGCTTCAGCCACACTTCAGAACTAAACTTGTAAAAGCATAAAAAATAAAGTAGCACTTGCTCCGTGCGGTCTGAACGTATTAGAAGCAAGGCTGAATGTGGAGATGAAGAGTGGGGGTCTATTGGGGTGTGGTAGGGATTAGCGAAAGTGGCAGCTATCTTAATTTGAAGTAAAACTACAGAGGTGAAGGATTTTTTTTTCTTTTTACCCTTTAACCACAGCCGATGGCTCAAGGTGCTGACTCAGCAATGTCCGAAGCCAGCACTGCTTTGGCAGTGGAGAAGAAGATTACTTGTCTGAGTTGGTTTTGTACCTGAACATAGAGCTGTAATGATGACAGCATATACAGT